GACACACAGGGGACGCGCACGGGATACATCGGCAGCACACGTGTGGATTTATGGGCACACACAGGATGCAGGAACAAGCAGGGCACATGCTGGGAGCACATGTGGGGGCTTCCATGGGACACAGAGGGGACATGCGGGAGACATGGGACTCGCACAGGACACACGGAACGCGCAGAAGGGACATTGAACCATGCGGGGCTGAAGTAGGGGAGAGGGCACAGCAGGCACGTGGGACACAAGATGGCACAGGCGCGCAGGGGACACGGGACTCACGGCAAACTCGGCGGGGACCTGCACGGGGACAGTCGGGACACAGGACACTGGAGCCACGGCACACATAGGGGACAGATAGGGGTCATTCCTGGGACACAAAGGACCCGGGCAGGGAAAAGTGAAGGGGTGCATAGGCAGGGGCTGAGGTACCACCCCCACGGGGACAGCGCAGGGAGCCGGGTGGGCAGCCGCGTCCCCACCAGCACGGTGATCTTTGGAGCGGGAGGTTCCGCCGAGGTGTCCCCACGTGGCAGGAGGTGCAGACCCGGGACACGACCCCGAGCTGGCCCCCGGCCACCCCGCAGTGTCCACCGGCCGTCCCCAGTTTTGGGGACAGGCCGTGTGACAAACACACTGGGGTCTCCGGGAGGCTCCAGAGGCTGCAGGGCCACCCCACGAGGGTGACCTTTGCCTTTCCGCCACGTTGCCCCGGTAGTGGCTGGAGAGGGAGGGCTGTAGGAGGGTACCTCCCATGAAAGCCCAGCCTCGCCTGGCCCTGATGGGTGCCAGGCACGCGTGGACCCTTCCCGCGTGTGCATCCACTGCTGCCACCCCCAACCCTGATACTGTGCCTAAATACACACCTGACCCACGGGATGCTGCCACCAGTGGCGGTCACCTGGCTTGTAACGTGTTGGGGGCTGTGCCTCAGTTTTCCCCGGATCTGCCCGGGATTTCTAAGAGCCTGTTGGCGCATCCCTGAGCCTTTCCATGTTGGGGAGAGCTGAACCATTAATCCCTGTGCTCCAGATGGATCCCTCCGGACCTCCATCACCACTGACAGCTGCCGGGGAAAAGGGGGGGTGGTGTCCCTCCCCCGGCCCCGTTTCCCTGGGGTGTCCGCGCAGAGCCTCACTTTGTCCCTTTTGGGGGTCCCGGTGCAGGGCGGGGAAACAGCAGCGTAGGGCCCAGGGGTCCCCGCGGGGCGGCGGGACGGATGGGCAGCGGGGCAAAGCGGCTCCCGGCCGCGCCGCTGGTGTAGTGGTATCATGCAAGATTCCCATTCTTGCGACCCGGGTTCGATTCCCGGGCGGCGCAGTTACTTTTTGTCTTGCTCGATGTCGCTATAGGACACGAAACACGCACGCATCGCTGTTCTCAGGGTGAAGAAAGGGGAAGTTTATTTTCTGACTCCAACATTTATAGTTTTCCAGAAATGACAGTGAATTGGACGGTGACTGTGCCACCTCTCCAATGCCACCGGACAAACCAACGGTCCATCAAATTTCCCCTCCTCCATAAAAGAATGCAAAACAATGAGTTATTTACAGAAACTGTGTGTGAAAGTTTGCTACAAGAATGTAAGCATCAGAACGCTTACAAAATCTCACAAACTCGGGGCGGCCGCTCTGCCTTTCCCCTCCCCGCAGTGCGTCGCTCCTCCCGCGGCGCGGGGCGGTGCCGCGGCCGCGCTTCCCTCCCGGCCCGGCCATGCAGGTCCCGGCGGCGGCGGAGCGGAACAAGGGCCCGATCCTGGCGGTGCTGCGGCAGTGCGCGGGGCCGGGCGCGCTGCGGGTGCTGGAGGTGGGCGCGGGCTCGGGGCTCCACGCCGCGCACTTCGCGCGGGCGCTGCCGCAGATGCGCTGGCAGCCCTCGGACATCGACCCGCGGGCGCTGCGCAGGTGAGCGGGGCCGGGGGGCCGGGGGAGCCCGCAGCACTCCGGGGGCACCGCCTGCAGCCCCTCCCTCGGGCCGTGCACCGCGGCCTCGGTTCCCTGCTCCCCGTTCTGTTTTTTCTTTATTTATTTTATTCCGTTTGGGGATTTGGGGAAAACCCCAGTATCTAATTCTCCAGCAGGCCTGGCTCTCCTGCTTAGCGCTTTGCTCCCTCCAGGAAAACCCCAATATCCAGCTCTTGGAATAACTGGATACATTTTTTTTCTCAGAAAAGACCCACTCAACAGTGGGCCCAGGCTCCACATTTTTTTTATTTTTTCAAGAAAAAATCCAATAGCCAACTCTCCAGCAGCCCAAGCTCCCCTGTTCAGTACTGTATTCTTTCCAGGAAAACCCCAATATCCTGCTCTCAGATGAGATTAATGTGTGTATTTTTTCACAGCAAAGACCCCCTTAAACAATCCAGGCTCGATGCTTTATTTTTTCCAGGCAAACCACAATATTCAGCCCTTGCCCAGCCCAGGCTCCCCAGGTCAATACTCACAATATTTTTTTCAATAGATCCCCAATATCCAACTCCCAAACAACCCATGCTCCCCAGCTCAGGACTTTATTTTTTCCCAGAAAAGTCCCAAATTCCATCTTTCCACTGTAGAAAAAAAAATAAGCCTGGTGGGGAGATGCTGGAACCAGCCCCTGTCCTGGAGGAGTTTTGTGCTGCCCACCCAGCAGCACCCACCACCCTGGGTAAAAATAATCTCCAGGCTGGGAGGCTGCAGGAGCTGAGACCTCGGTGGTGAATGTGCCAAAAAGGGTGTAAATAACACCAAAATCAGGAGGTGCTGGTGCAGTGGTGCCAATGGGGTCCCCACGAGGGGAGAATGCTCCAAACTTGGTGAGGTTGGGCCTTGGGGCCTCTGCATCCCCATGCTGCTGGTTCTCCAGGTGCTTCCAGTTCTCCGTGTGGCAGCTGGAAGCAGAGGGCTGGGTAAGGACCCCCAGGCTGTGCTGGACCCACATCCCTGTGGGTGTTTCTCCACTCCTGAGGGTCCGTGCGGGGCTCTGGCCCTGCCTGCAGCGGCTGCAGGGGCACCCGGCCGGCCTTGAGCTGGGCTTGGTGCCCACAGCATCGCTGCCTACGTGGAGGCCACGGGGCTGCCCAACCTGCTGCCCCCCATCCTGCTGGACGTGTCCCAGGGCTGGGAGACCTGGGGGGGCACCCAGCCCGCCAGCCTGGACCTGCTGGTCAGCATCAACATGATGCACATCGCAGAGCTGCGCTGCACCGAGGTGAGCGCCCTGCACAGCCCCTGTCCCTGCTCAGGGGGGCTCCCGGGGGTGTCCCCGGCCCCCTGACCTGTCCCCACCTCTCTCGTCCCCCAGGGCCTGTTCAGGGGTGCCGGGGTGCTGCTGAAGCCCGGAGGTGTGCTCTTCACCTATGGGGTGGGTCCCCTGTCCTGCTGCAGGAGAGTCCTGGGGGCTGCAGGGTGCCAGAGCAGATACTGGGGGGCAGCTCCGCTCATGGCTTAGGGAGGGAGCTGGGAAATGCAGGGGCTTGGCTTTTGGGGGGTCTCTGCCTTTTGGGGCACCTGCTGAGCCCTGGAAGGGGCAGTTTTGGAGGAGGCAGGTCCTGTCCTCCCTCACCTTATCCAAAGCAGGGTCTGGGGTGCCTGCAGAGGGTGACAGGACCCACAGTGGGTGACAGGACTCCCTGGGGGCCGTGTCTCTTCCCGCTTGGCTTCTGTGCTTGGTGGGGGCATCAGGCCGTGGCAGGGGGCTGGGGGGCACAGGGGGCTCCTGCCTGCAGCTCCAGCCATGTCCCACCAGCCCTACGCCGTGGACGGCCACATCAGCCCCCAGAGCAACGTGGACTTCGACCGCAGCCTGAGGCAGAGGTAGGAGGGGGCTGGGGGGCTCCTGGGGCCCATCCTGCCCTCTGTGTCCCCCCCCTGCAGCTGCAGGAAGCTCCCTCCCTGCGTGGTCCTTTGAGATAAGCCAGGCCTGAGGGCAGCCCCCGGCCGGGGGTGTCCCGGGTGTGACCCCCGGCTCCTCCCGCAGCAATCCCGCCTGGGGGCTGCGGGACACGGCAATGCTGCGGGAGCTGGCCGAGGCCAACGGGCTGAGCCTGGAGAGGATGGTACGTGCTGGGCCCGGGGCTGAGCCTGGAGAGGACGGTACGTGCTGGGCCCGGGGCTGCCCGTGCTGCTGGGCACCTCTGAGCCCGGCTCTGTGCTTCCAGGTGGACATGCCGGCCAACAACAAGAGCCTGATCTTCCGCAAGCTGTAACCAGCCCTGCCGGCACTGCCAGCGCCTGCCGGCACTGCTGTCCCCACTGCTGCCTCCTGCAGGGTGTCACCGTCCCGCCGTGGCTGCCACTGGGGCTGGGGACAGCAGTGATGGGACAGAGCCCCGCTCACCCAGCTGGGGCTGGCTTGGCTGGGCAGGGTCCATCTGCCCCGGTGCCTTTGGGGCTCCCTTTGCAGTGGGGTGCCCCAGCCTGGGCCACAGGACCCAGCACGGCTGCCGCGGGGGGGCACAGGTGTGGGGGGCGACAACACCCCTGGGCATGGGGGAGACTCCTTGCTCCATTTTCTTGGAGGATGCTGTGCCAATGGTGTCTCCCTTCTCCCTTTCCTCAGGATTGTGCTGTTGTCCCCCCAATAAACTCTGTGGCTTTGCCCCCTACACCCCAGCAGCTCCCTGATGTTTTCAGCACAGACACTGGGGGTGGGGGTGTCCCCAGTTCCAACTCCAGCACCAATGAAAGGGTCAGGTCCAGCACCCAGGGATGTTACACTGGGCCCAGAGGCTTTGGTGAAGTGGGAAGATTTTATGGGTGGGGTGTTCCCAGCAGGTCTCCCACCCCTCTGCAGCCCAACCCAGTTCTCCATTGCTTCTGGACAGGCTGGGGTAGGGGTCACACGGTGGGGGAACATGCAGCAGATAAATTACAGCGGAGGTGGGAGCTGGTCTGGGGCTCAGCATGGGGTTGGGGAGAACTACCTGACAGTGGTCACCTCTAGACACAGGCACTGGTGCGGGGGCTCCCCCAGGCTGCCCCCCCATGCTGTGTCTGCAGCTCCCCCCGTCAGCACATCCTGACTCTCCCCTAGTCCTGGAAGCGGTTCAGGAGGTCGCAGGTTTTCTTCTCCATCAGCTCATAGATCTTCTTCACCCGTTTGTCGTTGGCCGCCCGGACGTAGCTGCTGGGGTCCAGCGTGGCCATTCCGTCGTGCACCTCGCCCATGATGATCAGGGGCCCGTCCTCCGCCGTCATGTTGGGACAGGGGCAGCTCCAGTCCATGTCGGTCAGGGTCACCTCCAGGTACTTGATGTTGAAGAACTTGAGGCCCATCTTCTCATCCTTGAGGACGTCCTCGAGGGCGAAGCGGGCTATGCCGGAGTCCTGGTCCTCCACGATCTCCATGAGCCGCCCCACGATGGCGAAGTCGCTGCGGCAGAGGCTCAGCACCATCTTGCTCTTCAGGCGGCAGGCCTTGCACTGCAGGCTCTTGGGGAAGGGGCACACGTCCTCGCAGGTCTCCTTGCTCTCAAAGTTGTTGGTGTTGCCCTCGCAGCCGCCGTAGACGAAGGAGTGGCACTGCTTCAGCAGGTGGTTGTACGCCCAGCGCGGCTCCCAGTTCTGGCAGGGCCCCTGCACCATGGGCAGGAGGCAGGTGGGGCGGGCGCTGCCCAGGCAGGCGGCTCGGCACTCCTCGTACGTCTCGAAGTGGTTCCTGTTGGCCCCGCAGCCGCCGTAGCGGAAGGTCAGGCAGGAGCCCTGCTTGGCATCGAAATGCCAGCGCACCTCCGTGGGCTCGCAGCGCCGCCGGTCCGGCTCCTTCAGGCACTCGGCGCTGGGGAAGGGCTGGGGGCTGCCGCTCCGCGGGGTCCCCCCCGGCTCCCGCCGGAGCACCGACAGCGGGAAGTCGGCGCGGAGCAGCCCGGCGGCGTTGCGGGCCGTGCAGGTGTAGATGCCGGCGTCCTCGTAGCGGGCGTTGTAGATGACCAGCTGGCCGATGTTGGTGACCACCACGTTGCCGTACATCTGGTCCGGCCGCATGATGAAGTTCTCCTCCCGCTCGCTCTGCTTCTCCCAGGTGATGTCGGGCTGCGGGCGGCCGCTCACGTCGCAGCGGAAGCTGACGGTGCCGCCGGCGCGCACGGACTGGTGGAAGGGGTTGGTGTAGAGCGCGGGCGGCACCGGCAGCTCGGGGCCCGCGCCCGGCGTGGGGCGCGCCGTGGTCTCCTGCGGCACGGGGCTGGTGTCGGGCCAGGTGAAGATGTGCTTGCAGGGCACGGTGGTGAGGCGGGTGCCGCGCAGACACGCCTCGGCGTCCATGTAGCACTTGTTGTAGTAGGTGAGGCCGTCGGAGGCGCAAGTGAAGTTGGGCTCCTTCTCGCAGCGGTCCTTGCACTTGCACACGGGCTGCCCGTCCCAGATGTCGCAGTCGGAGCCCTGCTGCGCGCACACGAAGCTCTCGCAGGACGCTGCGGGCGCCAGCGCCGGGACGCTGCCGTCGGCAAAGCGAGCGGCCACGCAGCTCCGCAGCCCACACACGTTGGTGCAGCATTTCTCAAAGTCTTCACAGTCCTGGCCGGGGAGGGAGAAGAGATTGAGGGGGACGTGGAGGTCACCGCTGTGCTGGGGCTGTGGGTGCTGTTCCCACCCCTGTGGGACTTTGGGGTGGGCAGGTGTCCCCCGCACAGCCCCGTGCACCTTCAGCATCGCTGGGCTCCGGCCAGAGCCAGAGCTCCCCGGCACAGCTGTCCCAGCCCCAGCCCACCCTCAGCACCCCCAGGATGTTTCGGGGTGCACCGCGGTGATGATGATGGTCCCTTCTCCTCACAGCAGAGAGCAACTTGCCCTTCTCAGCTCTTGCTCGCCGAGGGGAGGCAGAACGCAACAGACGAATTGTGAAGGAGTCTCCCCTCGGGGTTCAGACAGCCCTAACCGGAGTGGGGTTACCCCTGCTCAGCCTGGTGGAGCCAGGGCTCTCTGGAATGGACAGCGCGGTCCGTGGGTGGGCTCCGGCCCCCAGGGGAAATTTGTGAGAGGATTCTGTTCTCGGGCTGATGGGGTCCGTGTCCCAGCACACCCATTCCCTTCATCCCAGCCAGCCCTTTGACAGGGTGGAAGCATCCTGGGGGTGCACAAGGAGGGTGTTCTGACCATGGGACACGGTCTGAGGGGGTGACATGAGAGGGCAACCAGCAGTTTCTCTGCCTGTGGGCAACAGGGGAGCCCAGCAGACAGGAGGGGCTTAGGGGGCAAAGCTGCAGCAGGGTTGCAGAGCCCGTTGCTCTCAAACAACTGAACCGGCTGTGCCACCCAGCACAGCACCCACACCACACCCCACAGCATCTCCTTCGGGTGCCTGGGGATGCCCCCCAAAGCCCGTTACCGCCCGCAGCCCCCCCGCTCACCTGGTCGGTCTGGCACTCCCGCTCGCAGGTGCTCTGGGCATCCACCCACAGGTTGGGGTTCAGCTGGTTGGGGCACACGCCCAGGTGCCGCATCCTGCCCGGCTGCAGGCTGAGCCCGGCCGCCGCCGCCAGCACGGGCAGGAGCAGCGCGATGCGCAGCGGGCCCCGCTGCCGGCCCGCCCGCTGCCCCCGGGCCCCGCGCCCGCCTCTGCCCCGAGGAGCCATCGCGGCCGCCCCGCCGCCGGCCTGGCTCGCTGGCGAGGGCTCGGGGTAAATCACATTCAGGACGGACGGGATGAGGGAGAAGGCGGGCGGGGGGACAAAGAGTAGGAGGAGAGGACCAAACCTCTGTCCTTCAGCACACCCGGCGCCCGCCGGACCACCGGCGATGCCGCCCGCCGCCTCCATCCATCGCGGTCGGCTCTCGGGGACGCGGCGGCAGTGGCGGGCGGCTCTCGGGGCTCAGTCCATCCCCGGCACGGCCAGCGGGGCGAGTGGGGTGGAAGGGGAGGACGGGAAGGTTGTAATCTGAATCCCCTCCCTTCCCACTGATGTTTCTGGGTGTTTGGAATGGGAAAGGCGCTGACCTCAGCCTCTAACCCCGGCGAGCCCGGCGAGCCCTGGGCAAACACGGGGGGAGATCAAAGGCAGAATGCAGAAAGTCTCCAAAGAGGGAGAGTGAAAGGGGGGGCGGGGGGGCGCACACAGAAACCCGCCCGGCCCACGGAGCCGAATTCCTGCAGGATGAGAAAACAGCCGGAGCCTGCGGTCCCCTCGGACGGGGCGGCCGGCGGGAGGGACGCGGAGCCCACGGCGGGACCCGGCTGGCCCGGGCGTCCCTCACCCCGCACCGCATCTCGGGCACCACCGGCCCCGCAGCCGAGGGTGCCGGGAGCGGGACAGCGGCACGGATCCATCCCGGCTTCCCAGCCCGCATCCCACCCGTGCCGTGCTGCGGGCACAGGACCGTGTCTGGCCTGGCGGGGTGGGTGCCCACCCAGCGCCCCTGGAGGGGCTCCCCCAGCTCCCTCCCCGGTGATTTACAGCCAGGATGTTTCCTGAGCCGCACCAGACCCCGGCACGTTGTGCTGGGGCTCAACCAGCACGTCCCGCACCAGCCCAGAGCTGGCAGGAGCCGGCCCCGGCTCCCACGCCAGATCCCCCTAATCCCCGATGGAGACTGACCTGCAGCAGGAACATTTAATGGCATTTTGGGAGCATTAACTCTTCCGGCTCTGGTGAGAGCCTCAGCCCTGAGGGGGGTTTGCAGCCCCTGTGAAACAGCAAACCCGAGGGCGTTTTGCCCCGGGAGCAGCTCAGCACCTCCGTTCTCCCCTCTTGGGGAGCACGTGGTGGAGAGGACAAAAAAAACGATGGGAGCCCTTTCCTTTTTTTGTTGGGGTTTTGTTTTGTGGTGGGGGTGACCCAACCCAGCCCCACTCCAGAGCTGCTTTCACATGGAATGGTTTGGTGCTCCCCCAGTCTGTGGCTCCTTGGGGAAGCCTTTTTGCCCCAGACCCGGTGATTCGGGGGACCCTCAGCACCCCCACGCTGGTGTGAGCAGGGTGCACCACAATGCTCTGGCACGGTGACCTCCAGCCAGCAGCACTGACAGTGCTGTGACCACCGTGCCACCCGTGCCACCAGCACACAGCACTGCTGCTGCCTCTGGGCTGCCCATGGTGATCCTGGGGCTCTCTGGGACCCAAACCCCAAAGCACAGCCAGGTCTGTCACCAGCTGGCCATGGCCATGCATGGACACAGCGTGTCCATGGCCGTGCCCTGAATCCCATTCCACAGCCAATGGTGGCTCCCAAGGGTCCATCCAGCTGCAGGTGCTGAGGGAGGCTTACCCTGCCCTGGGACACTCAGGGGAGGCTGATGTTCTGCAAACAGGGAATTGCATCAGGCCAGCCCAGCCAGGAGCTGCCAGGGCCTGTACCCTGCATGCCCTGGCAGCCTGAAAGGCCCAGCCTGACCCAGCTGGCCCCAGACACTCCCTGATCCACAAACCCACAGACTCCAGCTGGGAAGCAACGTGGCAGATGCACAGCACCCTGGTCCCAGAGGCACAGGGCCACTTTGAGGTGTCCCAGAGTCCTTCCAGGGGAACTGGTGTAGGAGGGAAAGGGAAACAAGACCTGGAGCCTAACTTCTGCCCATAGCCATGTCTGAGCTCTGTGTGGTCACAGCATGATGCCAGTGCCAGGCTCTGGGTTGGTTCTTGCCCCACTGCTCCTTTCCAGAGCCAGAGGAGCAGTGCCAGAGGCTGGCATGTGTCACACCGGAGCCCAAGGTGCCTCATGCCTGTGCTCCCAAGATCAGAAGCTGCAAGGACAAGCCAGGAACCTTCACCTCAGTGGTGCAAGGCTGGATGGAGGAATGGCAGCTGCTGCATGGCTGGAAAAGCAGCTCCCAACAACTGGAAATCCTCACCCACACCTTGGGACCCTGACCCAGCCTCTTTTAATGCTTCTTCAGCTGAAGGTGAACGACAAAGCAACTCTTCCCACCCTGACCAAGCCCACAGAAATTCCACCACCTCAACAGTTCCCAGCTGTTCACCTCCATGTGTCCAGGCACCAATTGCACCCTAGAACAGGGATTTTTTTGGGTCACTTTCAAAGATCCCAGACACAGATGAGGATTTTATGGTTTATCTTCTCCCTCCAAGACAAGGAATTGGCCCAGCACTGTGTCCTGGAGGGAAGGGTGCCGTGCTACCTGTCCCTTCTCCCAGAACCCAGCAGGCTCCTGCCCCTCCAATACACCCGTGGGCAGCTGCACCCTCATTTTCAAGCATCTTGCAGTTGTATGAAGGTCACCACCTCTTCCCAGGCTATGTGGGACAGTGGGATCAACCCAAGAAACCTCTCATCAGAAAGGTGAGTGCAGAGAAACACACTCAGTGACCAAAACCCTGAATCATCCCAGAGCAACCTGCTCCCTCCTTTCTCCGAGGAGCAGAGAGCCTTGAAGCTCCCCCAGCGTTCCCACCCGGCTCAGGCTGTGCAGTGTTTTCCTGCCCGGCTCTTCCCAGGCACAGCTGTGGCCCCGCAGCCCCCGCTGCTCCGCCCTAATGGGCTCCGGCTGTCCCGACCCCACCTGAAACCACACACAGCCTTTGTTTGGGCCCTGGGAGAGGGAACAGACACTTCCAGAACCCCCTGAAGAAAAAGAGGAAAAAAAAGGGCTGTGTGACTCTTCCCTGACCAGGCTTTCACCTTAGCTCCAGGGTTTTCCAGGCTGCAGACACGATCTCATTTCCCCCTGCCCCCTCCCAGCCCCAGCAATTACTACTTAAGCTGTTAAAACAAGCGTGGCCAGTCTGGTACGAAGTGGAAAATCTGATCCTGGGGAAGTGAGAAGGCAGGGGAAAAGGGAGGTCAAGGGGAGGTGGGCTGGGAGAAGGGGATCAGACAAGAAGTCTCCCTCCACCCCAGGATCAAATCCCCTTTCTCTGGGGCTCCTGGTGCCTCCAAAGGCCACTCTGGTGTGACACTGGTGCTCCGAGCTCCCTGCAGCATCCTCTCCCTTTCAGTCCCATTTGTCCCAGGATGGCTTCCAGCTTGCTCCAGTCTGGGCTGCCACAGCGCTCGCTGCTCCCTCAGGATCACCCACACCCAGAGAAGGGATTTAGGGTTTGACTGTACTTGTCCTGCCCCGTGGAGCAGGGACTGGGCACAACTCCTGGCAAACTGCTGGAGACCGTGGCTTCCTCCAGCCACCTACGGGACCAGCCCTGTTGGAGATGAGTTTGTGTTTCCTTAGGGCTCCACTACCCCAAATCAGTGGTTCTGTGAGAATCAAGAACAGATTTATCTTCTGCACCTACAGAACAGGAATTTTGGCTCCCCAGAAAATGTTATTATCAAGTTATTTTGTGGATGACCTGGAAATAGGAATATACACCTGTAACACAAACAGCCCCAAATCCCCATGCATGGGCAAAACCACCACCTTTTTCCCTTCAGCCTCTTTCCAGCCCACACAAAAACGGATACTTCTCCTCTTTTCAACTGGTAGTTCAAAACAAACAAAAAGACTTTAATTTATACAAAACAAAACCATGTAGAATCAGTTAAACAACACTGACTGTACAAAGGAATAAAAAAATAAAAGGATAGTCCAAAAAAACCCAACTCAGGAATGGTACAAGTGTTGGAGAGCAGCTACAGACTAGTGTTGACATCAGATGCAAGAATCTTTTCCTTTTAAATTAAAAAATAAAAAAAGTTTGTTGCTGGGCAATCACTCCAGGGAAATCTTCCATCCCCACTCCAGACAGGATCTGCGAGACTTCACAGGGTGACAAAACCTAAACCAACCACAGGGAAACAGCGTGGGGAGGTGGCACACGTGGCACAGCCAAACCAAAGCAGAGGTACAGCGAGTTTTGAGCCATGCAGCAGCTTGGTGATTCCAGGAAGGATCCCTTTCTCCCTCTGTGTCCCGCACACCGGCCAGGCCGGGGGTGATCCCGGAGGAGCCGCCCTTGGCGGTGCCGGTCACCTGTTGGCCGTATATCCCTGTGCTGCTGAGCCAGCGATTGTCTTCTGCTGCCTGTTAAGTGATGGGAAACAGGTGCCAGCCATCCAGACAGGTTCTCCAAATCCCCCGGCCTTCGTGCCACCGGGACGGCCCGGCTGCGGCTTTGCTCTCGAGCCAAAGCACCCCTTCAAAGGATTCCTCTCCCCCTCCACCTGCCTGGGGTTTAATTCTGTCCTCGCTCACTTGAGCTGGGTGATAAAGCACGAGAGAGCTGAGCCAAGAGACCTGCCCGTGCTGGGCTCTGCAGGGAGGGGAGGGGGAATCCTCTGGCACTCCCCAGGTCGGCTTGGGAGGGAGGGAAGCGGTGTCTCCACAGGGGGACGTGTCCCTGCTGTCCCTGCTGTCCCTCCTGTCCCTGCTGCCTGGACACAGCGGGTCTGTCAGCCACGCTGGAGCTGCAGCGGCTTCATCCTGCCCACACAGTGCCCCAGGCTGCCTGGAAAGGGGGAGCAGAGCAAGCTGATCCCAGGAGGAGGTGGCAGCACTGTATACTTCACTTACTACCACCCTACTCACAGTCTACACACCCTGGCCACCTATGAGAACCTGCCACCATAGCCCAGCCCCACTGCCAGGCTCCCTTAGCTTTTGGGATAAGGGCTGGGTGCTATTTCTCAGTTTGCAGGTGAATTTCCAGCACAGGTCAGCTGTGGAACAAAGCCAGAGAGGCAGGTGCACTTGCTCGACAGAAGATCCATCCCAAGCTACTGCCCCTCCAAGATCCAGGAGCCATGCCATGGAGCAAAGCAGTTTGCTCTCCCAGTCTCCTGGGACTGCTGCAAGAGCCAGGTGATTTTACCACTGAGGGACCTGGAGATGGCCATTTCCTCATCCCAACCTTCCACCTTCCCAGTCCCTGCTCCTTCATGCTCCAGTGGGAAAAGCCACTTCTGTCCTTTCCCACTTTCATCCAGGAGGAGCCGCAGCAGCACGAGCTCAGGCAGCATCTTTGGGAAAGCAAAGCTGGAAGCAGCCAGGATCCAGGAGCTGTCATGGATAGAGGGCACTAGAAGCGATGGATGAGACTTTGAAACAATAAGGGACAAAATTCAGCATTTTTCCCCTGCTTTAGGCACAATGCTTCCACCCCCTGCTCCCAAATCCCCGATGAGAAAGCACAAAGTGAGCAAGGCCTCAGTCTGACCCCAGAGCTGCCTCTTCCTCCTGCCTGCCACAGCACTCCAACCGCCCAGGACCCTGGCCTCGCTGCTCTGCTTCTCCAAGCACTGCCATCCCACCCTGCCTTCAGCACTCACAGGTTCTAGTGAATGGTAGGAACAGAGCAGCTTGGGGCATGTTCCATGCCAATCATCCTTTCCTTCTGCACATTTAGTATTTAAAAGCACCAGCACGAGCCCAGAGGTGAGGGAAAGTCTCTTAAAGCATTTATGTGTTTTCATTGGAAAATCCTCCACTTGTCCCCTTTGCTGACACTGGGAAAGTCAATCCAGTGCTTGTATTTACATGGCTGCATAAAATTTTCCCTGACTGCTTCTTAAAAAAACCCTTAAAAAACAAGTGATATTTATATATATGTATAATATTTACATAAATAAGTGAAGGCAGCAAATGGAGCGCTGCCTTCCCCTTTCCAATTGGCCAACTCTTGCCTTGTTTTCTGTTTTTTTTGGCAACAGCAGGTTAACGTCCTGGTGAAAACTGTCATTAGTGCCCCGTCCCTGCTTCTTTTTGTCTACATCCAATGACCACTATTGCACCAGCAAACTGTTCAGGAGGCCAAGAGTTAAAGTTGCAGCACAGACTCTCCTTGCCTACTCCCTTAAGCCTCTCAATCTTCCATTAAATCCATTGCTCCATTGAGACTGGATGAGCTTTTTTTCCCCTTCCCCCCTCCCTAACCCGGCAGCTGCTGAATTTTCCACCCCAGGCCAAGAGGCAAAGCCCAAAGCATTCTTGGAGGGTCACTTGGCAGATCCTCTCCCCGCCAGCGCTGCGGGATCCAGCCGGCACCATGCTTCTTCCTATGCCAAGCCAAAACGCGAGCACATTCCTAACGCTCGTGCGTGCCATTGGAAAAGCAACCGTGGCCCATCTGCAAGGATCCAGCGGAGAAGGGTTCGGTGTGCAAACAGCTGTACACGGGCGGGCGGGCGCGGAGCCGACAGAAGCTCGGGGTGCCCATCCTGCTAAGAGATCTTGCAGTTGTTGCGCGAGCAGTTCTGTGGGGGGCTCTGGGGCGGCCGGATGGATTTGGATCTCTTCAAGCTGTTCCCTTTGCTGCTGCTGCCGCCCCCGCTGCTGGCCAGGGAATAGGAGCGGCCGTGCATCATCACGGCGTTCATGCCGTTGGCCATGGAGAAGGATTTCAGGTGGCTCTTGATGGTGACGGGCAAGGGCAGCTTATCAATGAGGTGCACCGGGGTGCAGGACACGATGGCTCGGCAGCACAGGTCCTGTAAGCTGAACACTGCGGGGACAAAGGACCACACGGTCAAGGGCAAGGAGATCTCCTGGGCTGCCCTTCCCCACAACCATTCCTTACACTGCACAGCTCCAGCTCCTCAGGGAGATATGTCAGTAATGATTGCACAGGAGCTGGGAGTAGGGAGCAGGGTGTTTAGGACAAAAGCTTGGGAAATCAAAGTGAGCTTTGCTGTTGGAGGTTGGTGCTTTGCCAGACACCAGCTTTGGTGTGAACACAGGGTTAGGCACTGCCAGCCCTGCTCTGCTCAGCACCCGGGGCTGGCAGTGCCTGGCTCACATTCCTGAGAGACACTTGGCTTCTCAACCCATCCTCTGGCAACCAGGGCATGCCTGGCAAAGAGGCAATAGGGTCAGCAAGTCCTGAAACAGGACAGTGTCAGCTGGGATCTGCAGAACCCCCAGGCGCAGAGACCCCAGCAAGCCAGAGCACTCAGAACATCACTCTGCCCGTCCCAGTTCCCCAGCATCCTCCCAGCTCAGCCTGCACCCTGTGAGCCTGCCTGCCTGCCTTGGGAAGTCCCTCTCCCTGCCGGGGAATTCCCAGCCAGGGGCCACACGAGGGCACTCGTTATCCTCCCGCCTGCCAAAGCCACGCTGCCATTCCCGAGCAGGCCGATCCCCACTCCCTGCTAGGGAGCCCCGTTCATGGAATCACAGAACCATTTCGGTTAGAAAGGCCTTCTGAGACCATCGAGTCCAACCATTCCCCCGGCACTGCCAATGCCTCCACTAACCCGTGTCCCCAAAGTGCCACATCCCATCATTTTTTGAACACCTCCAGGGATGGTGACTCCGAGGCTGCCCTGGGCAGCCTGTTTAAGTTTAAGTGCCTGACCACCCTTTTTGTGAGGAAATTTCCCTTAATGTCTAATCTAAATCTCCTCTGGCACAGTTTGAGGCCGTTTCCTTTTGCCCTTTCCATTCCAAAGCAGGCAGTCTGCAGTCTCAAATCCTCTGGAAAAGATGCAGGAAAGGTCTGTGCATTCAGCCCATCCCTGCCCACCATCCCTGTGACCTGCAGACCATGGCACAGCAGCCAGGCTGGGGACGGGAGCCCAGGCAGAAAATCTGGTGACTGGAGCTGGCAAAGAGGATTTTCTCATCCTGCTGAGCAGGGGCTGAAGGTCCATATGAGAGCAGGACACCCCACAAACACAGATCTGCTGCTGCTCAGACTGCAGTGGGACACACTGCTACCTCCAGCCAGGAATAATGCGGGAAGTGAGATTATTCCGCTTCAAACTCAACAGGCTGAGACATAACATGGAATCTGCTTGTGGTTTCCCTCCTTGTGGCACATATGCCTGGATATATGGAATAACCCAGCCCACTGCTGCATGCTGACAGCAGGGATGAGATTTAGTCCCTTTCAGCTCCTTGGGCACACTGCTTCCCTCCAAAACAAAGACAGGCTCAGGCAAGGGAAAGGAGTGAGGTGCTTACACTTGGATTTATCCCACACAAATGTTTGGCTGAAGTACTTTCAATGTGGGAGCTTATTTGCCCTCAGCCTCACCCAGAGTAAGTGAAAAGGCAGAGGATGCCCCAGAGCACTGCAGCTCCCAGACATGCTGAGCTGCCCTCTGGAGCTGCCCATCCCTACACCAGCACAGGCAGCTCCTGGCTCAGCTTCAGCTTGTCTGGCCTGAGGGATTCCCCCACGTGTGGAGGGTGCAGCTCCCACAGCTCCCACCCAGGCAGCCCCAGGGCCCCCCCAGCCCCCCCCTGCCCACTGACCTCGGTTGGGTCTCCAGATCTTCTCCATGCCGTGGCGCATGAGGACGATGCGGGACAGCTCGGTGAAGGACTCGATGACGTTGAAGTTGCACAGGGGGCTCACCTCGAAGAAGGTCATGCAGTTCTTCTCGGCGTAGGCGCGCGCCTGCTCCGTGGGCACCTGCCGCTTGAAGGCCAGGTGCAGCCTGTTCCCCACCAGGATCCGGGGCACACCTGGGGCGTGCTGCAGCAAGGAAAGGGGTGAGGAAATCAGGGCTATGTTGCAGTGTGTTGTAATAGCCTCTTTTAGACTTCCAGGTCCCTTCCCAGGTGTGCCTATACCCCTCTCCCTTCCCCCTTGCTGAGTGAGTCCTGTCAATCAGGCTTAACATTCCAGCAAGGTGTCGTGTGGTTGGTCAAGTTCAAAGGATGCCCCTCAGGCCTGGGGGTCATTGGCCTGTCTGGGTGTCCCTCTGTCCCTTGAGACCCTGCCCCTCTCACCTGGTTGGTGCTCACCTGTACCTCCCCTCCCCCTATCCCGGAGCTTAAAAGGTGAATCAGACCATGCGATCAGGATTCTGTTGGAGCAGTTGCTCACGTTCAGACCTCTGTAACCATGGAATAAACCTCTGGATTTAAACCCTCCAGCAGAATCCATCTCCTTTTCCTCTTCACCATCGCCTGAAGCCTTCCTCCTGAGGTAAACTGAGTTCCTAACAAGTCTGGACTTGTTCAGTGCCCAGCTGCAATCTCCAGCAAGCCAAAGGTGTCTCTGAGGTGAAACACCACAGCTGCCGCCTTTGGCTCAGCAGCAAGGGTCAGACTGGCCCAGGCACAATCTACCTGGTAATATTGGGATTCATATTCCAATAGGGCTACACCCAGCATTTTGCTTAGCTGCAATAGCAGTGAGGGGAAAACAAACAGAAGCTGCTCTGTGGCTGAGGGACTGGCCAGCAGCACCTCTCTGTGGTGGGGACAACTCATTTGTCACCTCCCATTTCTGAGGGAACTTTCCCAGTCTATTCATTTCTGAGGGAACTTTCCTGTCTTTTCTTGACCATTCCTGAGCCATCTCCTACTACTCCAGATTTACAAAGAGATGGAGGGCAGACATTTATTGCTTTGCTCCACTTATGACTGCACTGCCATCGTGTCCCCTCCACAGCAGAGCTGTCCCCATGTCAGGTAACACCTTGGGTGATCCCTCCCCATGTCTCTGCTGTGGATCATTGCATGGGTTCCTCCATTCACTCACCTCATCTATTTCCTTTATCCATCGGTCTATCCCATCAAAGGACCAGCGATTAGTGATGTCATACACCAAGAGAATTCCCTGGTGGAAGACAATCAGAAGCAATCAGGAAGTTCCATAGCAGGGCAGGACACCCCTGACAGACCCTCACATGCAGAAACCAAGAAGCAAAGGGACAGAACATTGCTCCAGCCACACCATTTGTGTGCTGACAGTGCAAAAATTGAGACAACAGGGCTGTGCTAATGCAGTCCCAGGTCATTAGGGAACGTTTTACTCCTGTTTTGGCTCTGGTATCTGCCAAATAATTTCCAAAGCTGCAGTCTCTACAGAGGAGGAGGAACTGCCTTGGTGGCTGTATCTGGAGGAGCAAAACACACCCTTGTCCTATCACAATTCTGATACAAACTTGCTGAGGCAGAAATACACCTTTTTTTCTATCCCCTTACTGACAGCTGCAGTCAGTGGGGAGGTGGCAGCAGGACAGGAAGGAATTTTCAAGCACATCCCTCTTCACCAGAACCTGTGTCACTGTGAGCCCTTTGCTGACAAGGAGGAAGATGAATAATGCTGATAAGCACCACAGTATCTCCACAGACTGAGCTCTCAGGACTGGGATCCATCCAGACTTCACTGAAGGTGTTTCTATTGTCGCTGCCACGCTGGCAGAGAGCAGGCCAGAGGTACCTACAGCATCCTCACCTTGACATCCACTGTCCCCGAACATCTCATCCATGACTTGCTTCCCAGTCACCTCCTGAGGTGCAGCACGTGGTGCTGGCAGCAGCACAGGCACGACTCAAGGCAGGAGAGACAAGGGACAGCTCTGAGGAGTCTCCATCTCACCCCAAGCTGGGCTGGCAGGACCCAGGAGCATGGCCTGACTGTTGGCCATCACTCAGGTCCACAGCATCTCCCAGCAAATGAGCTTCTCTTGAATCTGAGTATTTCTGAGGACAGACACAAGGAAAGTAGGCTGTGCCTGGCCCCGCAGGCACACAAGTCAGGAGCTGCTGCTTGGCACCAGTTGGGCACAGACAGCATTTATAGAATTGTCCTCAGCAGAGCCTTTCTGCAACCCTCCCATTATTTTTCTGACTTCTTGTCACTCTTCTTTGCAATAAAGGACATTCCAAGTGACAACAGGCACTCAGAGCTGACTTGGCAGAATCACAGTACAAGAAGGCTGGAATGGGAACTAGGGAGGAGGAGATGATGCTGTGCTGAGAGAGGAGGGAAGGAAGTGCTGGATGAAAAGGAACCCAGCAGCAGCAAGGCTAAGGGCAAACCAAACCAGACCATTGAGCACCAGGCTCTGCAGAATCAGCCTTCCCTGAATCAGGGGCATCCTCCAGGAACAGCCATCCCCTATAGCAAAGCCCCAGCATAGGCAGAGATCTTAAATTGGCAAAGGAAGGTGTCAGCTTTCAGCCCAGTCCTCTCTGTGCATTGAGCAGAGGGAAGGAGAGAGCTGAGACACTCCCAGAATCAGCCCTGGGACGAGTCAGGGACCTGGAGCACCCTCCTGTACCTTTGCCCACTGAAATGAAAGGTGTGCTACACAGATGGGAAGCACAAGCTACCCAGTCCTCCCAAACCCCCCTGTACAGTCCCTGCTGCTGCCAGCCCCTGTGCTGAACTGAGAGCAGCCTGTGCAGAAGATCTGTGTATGATATACTTCAAATTTACCAAAAAAAACCCCATTAACATGAAATGTGAAGCACACAGGAATGATAAACTGGCATCTGGGCCACAAAGGCACCTGAATTCTCACAATAAAGTCACATCTGGAGCTGGCACTAGCACTGCTCCCCCCTCATGGAACAGCAGCCGTTCCCGGAACGCTCTGGGTGTGCCTCGACCTTGTCTGCCTTTCCCTCAGCTCCTCTGAAATAAGCAGCTCTCAAAGCCTGAACAATTTGATAATTTTATAACAATTCAGATGCTTCCTTGCAGAATAATTCTGATTCTTGAGCTGCACCCCCAGCCTCCCTGCCCACTGCTTCCAGCCCAGGCAGTCTCTCTCCAGGTGGGGTTTGTTTTTTCTGTCCTCACTGGCCCTCCAGCATCTCCACATCTGCAATTGTACCCCCACAGAAAGGCTCAAATGCACAAAAATAGAAGGGCAGAGGGCACAGAAGGCAAGCCAGATGGGCTGGCTCCGTGTTTGACAGTCCAACACAAAGAGCAAGCCATTGAAAGTCTGGCTTTGAGGCTGTTCTGTAGGACCTGAAGTGAGTTTACATAATGGCAGAAATATCTGTGGGGTGGGGGAAACATCTTCAGTTTCCTTCAAGGAAAGTCTGGAGCTCCTACCTGTAATTTTTTGTAGTCTCATTTCTAGGACAGTCCAAAAGCTTCATAATCAAAAGAAATGGAGGTTGTTTTTGTTTTGGAGGACAAAAGGATCAGTTTCTCCAAGATTTAGAGAGGAAAAATAAGAAGGAAGTAATGATTTTCTGTAATTAAAAAATGCCACAAAACCAAAGATACTGCTTCTCAAGGACCCAATCTGGAAATACCTACTAGCAGGATACATCACATTTTAATTGCATATTAAAAAAAAGACTCTGAGCTTTCTTTTAATTTTTCCTCTATTTGTTTTGATTTCCAGCTTCCACGGCTGTGTGTGAGAATTAATGACAGCCAGGAAATAACAAAGCAAAGGGTTTGATGAGCCCCTTCCAACACAAATGGCCAGCAAGATAAATAAAGTCTACTTGCTTCATTTCTGGATTGACAAGTTCCTTCAGCCAAGAAAAACAGACCCAAGACCTAGTTTGTAACGATTATTTCTGCCAGGAATATGCCTGAGGAGGAGAGTTTTTAAACTTGCTGGCAGCTTCTGCCTGGATCTTCTTTGAATAGGAATAAGGATAAAACTTGAGCAAAAACACACCCCTAATTTCTCAGCAGGGTAGAAGGTCAAGACCATGATTTTTAAATGCAAAATGTGACCCTTTGTCTGCCAGTTGAGCCTCCAAGCCACACCATGGCTCCAATATCCACATTTAGAGCCTCCATGGCTCCAGCACCCACATTTGGAGTGCAGACTGTCCAGGAAAGCTTCTCAAAGGCCAAGTTGCCCTTGCCTTGCTCCATCCCCATCCTGCCCAGCTGGGTATGGAGCCCAGCTGTGCTGCAGCTCAGCAGGGGCAGCAAGAAGGCTGCTCAACCCCTGGCCAGCTCCTGGTGCTTCAGAGAACCTCACACAGCTCCCAAGGAGCACTGGCATGCTGCACACACCACATTTCCAGAGCATGCATCCCAAATGCACTGTCACTGCCATTGCTGCCCCAGAGAGAACAGCACTCAGCCCTGCACAGGGAGGGGGCTGGCTCCAGCTCTGCAGACAGTTCCAAGTAAGATCTGTCAGGCTTTTTTAAAGTCTCCTTTGGAATAACATGCATAGAATTTTAATTTCCTCAACTCAACAAATGAACAGTTTCCCATTTGCAGCCTAATTTGTTCTCTAAGTGCTTAGATGGTTGTCAACACCCTATTATCTCCACAGCTTTCAATTTTTAGTTTCACAAAGCCCTTTTGTACCATTATGTGCCCCAGGTTCCCACAGTATGGAGTGAAAAGCTCCACGCTCAGCTTCTCAGACCAAGGAGACCTGGAGCCCTCACAAGCCTCCAAAAGCCTTCCTTCTTTTCCTCCTCAGTCTGCCTACAGCTTCTGTGTAGGCAGAAGCTGACTGGACTCATCCCCAGATCCATGTGGGGTCTTTTCACAGTTGGATTTTCAGAGTTCATTGCCACTCTGGTTTTGTTCCACACTACTGGGATTGGCACAACCCTCAGCAGCCAGCGACAGAAATTTCCACATGAGTGCCTCCCATAGTGAACAAGGAATACAGACAGAGCACCAGTTATTGTATCCAGCAGCACATGTGGACATTTACTCTGCCAAACCCCAAATTTGCTTCCAGCAGGAGCTTACACAAAGATCTGTCCATGTAACTGAGGTGATGGTGGGGAAATATCATCTCTGCCTGCTTGCAGCAGGTTTGGACCAGGTTTATAAGCAAAAAGCTTTTAAAGGTAAGAGAAAATCAGCTTGCACACTCTCAATGCAAAGCAGGCTTGTCCAAAAAGGCTTCTCAGATGGCTTTAGGGGCTTCCAGCACACAAGAAGCTGCTAGGAACACTTGCACAACTGCCAAGGACCTCAGCCCAAGGCAGGCAGGGGACAGGGTGGCCAGGAAAGTGTCATTTGCTGATATTCTCCACTGATGGAAAAAAGCTGCTGCTGAAGAAGGCTGAAGAGCCCCTCAGAGTGAATTTTCTGTCCCACAGTATGAAATAAACCTTAACCAGAAGGTCCAGTGCTGACAGGAACCAGAACACTCTGTCTCCTGCCTGCTCTTTCACATCTCCATTTATCGTGGCTTTCCAGCTGGCACATCAGACACTGGCTCATGGACACCCTGCTGCCAAACCTCTTTCCAGCATTGGGGGTATTTATCACTGAGCTCTTGATAAGTATTCTGCAGGCAGGGCAGGCTCCTCCAGCAGCTGGGCAATCCTGTCTGAATGACCCAAGGCAGGTGAGGTATTTGCAGTAACCAAAAGAGCCATAAGGGAGGGCTCAATCTACACCTGAGTCTGCTGAGCTGCCAAAAATCCACCACCTTCCTGCATACTAAGAAGCCCTGAACAGGATAAACAGCAGCTCCTCAAACCACCTGCCTAAGCTGAACTCAACAATATTCATCATTTCTTTAGGGCTGCAGCTTTGCTGCAAGATGGGAACATTTTATCACACTGTCTGGGAAGGGTTTGGCAAGCCACACTTTCAGAAACAGTTTAAATCACTGGCATATGAGGACATCAGGAATGATCCTGACACTGCTTCTTCCTGGCTGGATCAGGAAGCACCACCACAGCTCTTTCTCCCCTCTGTGATCACTCTTGGAATAGTTTGCATTTGCTCACAGCAGCCAGAACAGTCACTCAAACAGCTGAGATCAGCCAGCCAGCTCTGCTGCAATGACTGAGACCTGGAAGCCAAGCAGAAAAAAAACAGGAGTCCAAGAGCAAAAAAGGTTTCTGCAGCACTTTTAAGCACACTAAAGG